ATTACACCTTAAGCTTAAGGCGGACCTCGCATTGGCCCTAAATATCCTAATTTACTTTAGTGCAAAATAATAGTATTTACTTAACTTTATAGTATAATAGGGTAAGCCAGGGTTTCCCCACTTCTCAATCTCACCGTAGTTGCCTCTTAGTCGTAGTGTAGATATTAATCGGGAGTTCACTTCATCTGTGTAGATCATTTTAAATGTGTAGTTCATTTAGTCAATCGTAGTCTTTATCAATCGTAGTATATGTCAATAGTTTTCTACCCTAACAGTTTCTTACAGGTTATAATATTGTGCTCTGTCTTATTCTATGTCGGTTACATGAAGTTCTGTAAGTACTCTTTAGCTTTACACCTAAGATCACGCTTACGTTCGCATTTCGCATACACCGCTTTAGCCTGTCTATTACCAGTCGGCTTACACATTACTCGGTCTTGACATATCAGTTACCTAATAACATCTAGGTCTTAACGTTCGCGTTAGCACGCATCGTACTTGTTGGGGTCAGGGAATAGGCCCTGCACATGAGCCCGCAGCAGGCACGCATTTCAGAGCATTCTCGCGCACGCATTCCCTTCCGAGGTGTTGTGGGCACCCACTGGAATCCCACGTTTTGCCTGGTCCGGTGGACAGACCACCGATGCACGCGCTTGCACGCGCTCGACCCCGTCCACCGGGCACTACACCTAGTATCTTTGAAATTTGGCCGAGGCCATGCGTAAAGTTCACCCAGAATGCACAACACTGTGTTACCCTACCCCCTCGCATACCTACATATGACAAAGGATTACATTTCAAAAGATCATGAATTTTGTTTGGTGAAGTTCGCAGCACTTTCACTGAACAAAAGAAGGTGCAATCTTGGACAAAGTGTCGCAGGATTTTTTGGACAACCCAATTCTCAAATGTGAAAGTAGGGTGTAAAGTGGACCGCCAGTAGAAAAAAAGGAGAAAAATCGTGAAATATTCAGGAAATACAAGCCTTCTGCTCTACGCTGTAGAGAAGTTCAAAAGGTCGGCATTGAGGTGAGAGATAATGTGAACACGGAAAGCGATAGAGAAGTCCGAGTGGAGAGAGCTTGGCAATTCAACATTACGACGCAGACAAGATATCGTGCGGTGGGCAGAGTGTGACAGTACGTTGAAAGTAACGCTTTTGCCGTAGGGAAGTAACACGACCTCTGCACCTGCGTACCTAGCGCTTCTAGCTGCAGTGAAGGCTCATTATGTGGGTGTGAGCCCGAACATTGCCTCTGAAGAAAATTGAAGAGTTTGTACTAATAGATAATGCATTCACAGCTAGTTCTACACTTTGGCCATGTTGAGGTTTCAGCAACTCCCAAAAGTTATTAGAAATTACTGAATATGCCTGATGTTTTTGACCATGCGGTCGATTGTTTTGTTAAAATTGCAAGCTTTTACAATAATTTGAGTTTTACTTGGAGTTTAGTTTACGCGAGAATTTCTAGTGAAAATTTTTTTCATTCTCAACTCGTGAAAAATTTTTTCATTCTCAACTCTTTCTCCCATCCAACACTAATATGCCAGCCTAGTGAAGAATGCTGGCCTCCTAAAAATATCAACATCGAAACTGATTTGATTCGGCAGAAAAAAAATTACGGCCGAAATGCATTTGACCGAAGACTTTTGGGCGATCCTGTAGATGGCGAAGGGGTGGACCAACACGGCGATAGTGGCGCGGGGACTTTCATGCTAGATCGCCAGAGCATAATACTTGGCGTGCGGTCCGCACCCTCAAGGGGTTCGCCTACAAGGCGAATTTTCCCTTATTCGACTCCGACCCTATCGTGAAGTCCTCGACGAAGGCAAGTTATAACAGTCATAATCATGACAAAGAATCGCAAATTTCAAGTAGTTCAAGCGTTTCATGAATGTGAAGTCGCGCTCACGTTTTGCGTTTCCGGGCCAATCAGCGAGCTGGGAATTTTTTTTAGCATCATCTGCTTACCATTCCTCACCACAAATACCTCCTGTATCACAATTTTGGCGGGAGCAGCTTTTTCTCTAACTTCTCTCTACCGCCGAAAATGCATTGGGCCAAACTTTTGAGCGCTGCTGTAGCTTCAGTCGCCTAGCAGAGAGAGTGTTAGCCTTGATAGGACCCTGCACGAGGCTAAAACGGGGTTCAAAATAACTTGCTTTCTGGAGAAACTAAAGTTTTACGAAAGAGTCGTCCCTTCGGAAAACCTTACCGCTGGACCTCCAAACAATCGAAACCTTTCCATTTTTGTTTTCGTATAAATTGTTTTTGGCTGTATAAAATGGCTTTTGTCTCGAAATCCATTTTCGCAATTTTGACTTTCGCATAATAATAGCTGGACTTTTTTTCGAAGGCTGAAGAAAGAGGCTTTGCTTTGGTGCTGCTGTGCTGCGATTCTTATCAATCATGGCATACGCGCTGTTTTTGCCCTCTCGCGTTCGACGTGTTCTCTTGCGTGTTCCACTCTCCTCATAGCGCTGTGTCTCTCCGTCATACCTCCGCCTAGCTCACAAGGAAATATCCGAGTTTTCCATGGCGCTTACTTTTCTCCCAACTACTGTCCCTCTTCGCATTTTTGTCTAATTTTTGAATAACAACACACTAGCTCGACCCCGACCCATGGTATTAAATATTTACTAGTTAAGAGATACGATAAAAATCTCTTTCCTCAGCGTCCATAACTTTCTACGGGTGTATGTACTTAGTTTGAAGCTGCTAGAGCTGAGTACGGTAGCGCAATTAGCGGATTACTGTAGCGCACGGCAGGTCACTTCGCACATTCCCAAAATAGCCTGTGGGATGACCCCACTTAATCGCCTGCGCTGGATGCTGACATTTCTTGGCAGTTTCAAAATAAGCATAAAGTGTGTGGAATAATATCAGAGTGAATTAGTGTTTTGAACTATAAATTTTTGAAGATCAAATGAAACTTTATTAATACCATACAAACTACTAAAAACGAAGGTGGAAACAAAACTAAAAATGAACAAGATTGCTAGTATAAATATACATATTCAACAATTATATTGCTTTATTAGTAACGTATTTTGACATTTTTCTGCAAAAGTGCTCCACTTCTTCTCGTGTCACCCCATTTTGGTAGCATGCGTCAAATATGAAACAGAGAGTGCTAGTTTGTACCTATATGATTCTTTTCTCTATAATACCCGCTTTTCCATTTCTTCTACAACTTTTACTCTTACTCAAATGGCCTTTGAATTGGGTGTCGGGTCTGTGAGGCTAAAAGAAAAAAGAGGAACCGCCATAAACATGTGCGAAAGGCTATGCCCTATTAGGAATTTGCCTCCAGGCAAGTGATAAGGTGTGTGTTTAATGTCGTATTCACTTTATACAAAAAGTAGGTGAGCAAAAGTCAGCTGTTGGCAAAAACTATTAGGTCGGTCCACAATTTTTGAGGACCTTTGATGGATTTTCGCATTTATTACTTATTCTATTTCTCTGATCAACTTATCCTGCATAGTATAACATTATTATTCTCAACATAGTGCCAATGCGAGGGTGGGTATTCAGTGCTCTCTATTGTGGACTTCATAGTTCTGATCGAAGAGTAAACGATTCGTAGTACGCAATCAAGTGTTCTCAACCTAATCTGACACATCATCGTATTCATGTTGGGTTCTTCTAGTTTTTTCGGAATGAACAATCTATGTTTCGTCATTGGTGGCATGGGCGACTGGTGCAGTGGTGCCTACAATCAAGAAGCCGACCTATAAGATTGGCTTATAAACGTAGTCCGGGAGTCATTCTGACAGTAAGATCAACTCCTTGAATTACGAACATCCGGAGATCGTGGTGGCGAACTTATGGGACGGGCCTTCTTGCGATTGAATAGACCTCCGGTATACAACTAATATACCAAGGTTTTTTTTTATTTTTTTTTGGTGGCCCAGTATTATTGAAGTGTGGAAGAATCGTTGACAGCTTGATGGCAACGCCTTCAATTTGAAAGCAAAGGAAGACAAAATCTAATTTTTTCTGAGGTCATTCGAGCCCGCCTTACTAAGAAAACTCCTTAAAAATTGGAGACTCTCGGGCGGTCAGTTCTTTTAGCTCCGCCTTGTAGCACTAATCCTGCGTCAACGAACGACTATTCGCTCTCCTCTCTCAATCACCTTCTGGAGAAGAAATCTCACTTGAATCACCATAAAGTCAAAATCGACATCCAATATTACTTCGATCAGAACTCTATGAAATTCTATAAGAGGGACACTGAATACCCACCCTCGCGTTAGCTATATGTTGGTAATAATGGTGATGTATACTGTGCTGAATAAATACATCAGAGAAATGAGATAAGTAATTAAGTCGAAAAATACCAAAGGTTCTCAATAATTATGGACCGACCTGATATTTATATTTCCTATATTTGTACACTTCTAGTTTTGTTTCCACCTTCGTTTTTAGTAATTTGTATGGTATTAATAAAGTTTCATTTGATATTCAAAAATTTATAGTTCAAAACACTAATTCGCTCCGATATTATTCCACACACTTCGTTTTGCTTATTTTGAAACTGCCAAGAAATGTCAGCATCCAGCGCAGGCAATTAAGTGGGGTCATCCCACAGGCTATTTTGGGAATGTGCGAAGTGACCTGCCGTGCGCTACAGTAATCCGCTAATTACGCTACCGTACTCAGCTCTAACAACTTCAAACTAAGTATCGCCACCCACTTTCTACCACTGATTGATCGCGAACTGAAAATTGGCGAGCTGGCAATAAGTGAATGACGGGCACAATCGGTACATATTTGCTTTAATGCGTAGAATAAGAAAAGTATTACACATAGCTGGGAACTGCGAAAGTGTGACTGATAGAAAAGGCACTCAACAAGAATTCCTTGAGGGCATATTTTATTAACAGCATAAAAGAACAACAACTAATCGAAGTAGACTATGATAAGTGAATATAACCGGGAAGACATAGTCAGAGATTCTTTGTACAAGACATAATACGAGCATTTCAACAATTTTAATAGATTTTATGGGAATTCTCTAGGATTGAGGTTATGACAGTGGACGTCATTCTGAGGCGAAACGGCTCAAAAAATCGGAATCTTCGAATAAAATCTAATGCGTTCGCGACCCGTACGAGAGATGCTCCTTCATACCATTATCTTTTCAATGAGATCGACCTCGCTTTTTTGCCACCTCATCTTTCTGTTCAGCACTAAAATCCAGCATGGTCATGATTGCCTGCAAAATATGAAGTTGAGCACCAATAGACTATCGATCGACAAACATTATAGTTTAACCTGCAAGTGTTCCTTAGCATCTCCTTTGTTCAACAAGTAGTAGTAAAAGGCATCGTGAAGAAACCGAAGCACAACACGATCTTGAGTCATTTGGTCAATTTGTGCTACCTGAAACCGATTATTTGAAATCCTAAAGTAGGAGGATTTTTGAAGCGAGAGCGGTTCTTTCGCGGGTACTCGAGGCCCGTCGCGCGGCAAGGACAAGAGACGCAAACGGGTCAGCGAACCAGTCGCACCGGGTGCTGTAACAATTTCGCGCCAAGTTAAATGAAATCTACCATTGTATGTCCTAAATCGCACAACACGCGCTGCGATTCGTCCACTGACCCATCTGCATATCTGCCTTCATGCCGCGCAACGGGCCTCTGGTCGGGTACCCTCATTCCTTAGTTGAGAAAAAACGGCGAGAAATCCATTTCAAACCACGAGCTTTCGCATTGCTGCGTGGCCAGCAGACTGAATTTCGAAATTCTGCTGTGGTACTATACATAGATGCAATCAATAATTCGAGCTTTAGTTAACAACCTCTTTCATATCCATTGCAGCAGCTTCCTGGCCTTTCTTGAACATAACTAAGTACATCTCCCTTCTGAAAGTTTATAATCTGAGTAGCAGAATCTGTTGAATGAGGACTTGTACAAAAAAAAAGATCTGGGTGGTCACCTTTCCTCCTCCAAATCTCGAAGCTTCTTCTCATAGATTGTGTTCTCTTGACGGCTCAGCTCTAATCTAGCATTAAGATCCGCCAGAGCGGAACAGGCGTTGGAGGAGTCCTGAAAGTGTTGAAGTGGGACGACGTGCGATAAATGAAACTCTGTAAGCACCAACCTGTTCAATTTTGGCTAGCAACAGCTCGATTTTCCCACGTAATGCATCTTTCTCTTGTTCGAGCCTGTTCAAGCGTTCAACATCAATTGTTTTAGATGCAGCTGCTTTATTGCTAGCAATCTGCAATGAAAACGTTTCCCCCAATGTTTGTGCGCCACATTGCTGATGGTGGTTTGAGTCGGAAGTCACAGGCTCGTCTTTGCATCCTTATAATGCGAATTCAATGGCTACGGTCGCCAACGAACTGCTCTTTCAACACACTCATGATCATGCCCATGACACAAATCAGGGTGAATAACGGTCGAGGAATTCCTCCTCCATAGCTCTCTACCGTGCGAGAGTAGTGTCGCGAGCGAATGAATCCGCGGAGAGCAGAGACGGCTCGCGGGGGCGAGAGTGAGCATCCGCGTGGGAGAGCGCGAAAGAACCCTCTTTGAGCCGTGTCTTTTCCTGGAGCGATTTTCACCGTGAGACAAATGACATATATCATCGTCTGCGCATCGCTGGCGATGATTCCTTCACGACCTCATGTCCGGCGGGGGCGTGCCCATACTGTATAAGCAAGAACAGATCCCGCAGCTCATATACCTTCTCTTGCAGCCATTCAATAAAGGCGTTCTACTCCCTCTTTGTACATATCCTCATATAAATCCACTGAATCACCGCGAGGTGATTATAAAAGGCGATAACCTTAAGTCTCTAGTCACCCGTAACAACATAACTACATTGCTCGCGTGCATACCTGGTGATGCACAAATGTCACATTTAGAATATTTCGTGGATCGTTACAAGGCCGTTACAAGCAGCTAGGTCAACTGCCCAAAACCCGAGGGGCCCCTTGTTTGCACGTTGATTCACGCATTGATGTAACTCTCATCGCTGTGCCCTCTTCAACACTACGCTCTCTCTGCTATCTAATCACTCGCCACGTATAGACCTGCGGCGACTGATTAGATAGTCAGTGGGCGCACCCCGCTAACTACGCTAAGAGTGAGCCATGCTAAATCGCTGAGGTCAAATCTTTCGCTGCAGTTCTTCGATCAGCACCCTCAGGAGGTCCGCTTCTCTCCTAACCATGCAATTTTCCCCTTCTTTGACCTTCATTCTTATAATGAATGCCCCTTTTGAGGTGGCCCACCAGCGCGTGCACAGCTGAAACAATCGCCTTCGTGGCACACTTCGTATTTAAAGATTACTCGAGGACTGGAATAGTGAATCCCATTGTGAATGTCAAGAGCAGGGTAAAGTGGCTCGTCGAGTGTGTCCAAAAAAATAGCGACTCACTGTTGCATTGGCAGCGGCTAGCTGCTCATGAAGTGTGCGATTCTCCCTCGACAGCTGTCCGACCCGTTCTCGCAACGATATCACACGCGATTCACGGCGGTTTTCAACTGGTTGAGGAGCTTTTGCCTTAGACTCGACAAAGAATACGCTACGCTGTTGGCTGGATTCATGCCATGACTGAGTCATGAAGTGCCTGGTAACCAAGAAATTATAAGTGGCACTCAGCTGGATGTACAGGCAAAAGGTTACCTTGGCATTTGAGCCACTGTATCGGCCAAATGATTGCCTGGTAACGAGGTTATCGAAGAAGACAACGATGGAGGCACATTCTGAAAAGGATCACAAATATGCAACCATTTTTATACCAAGGTTCTAAAGCTTTTTGTCGCAGAAGTTATCGTTCTGAGATTTTTAGAAAAAAGATTTGATGTTCAACTAGGCCTCAGCAGTGTGCTGATAGCAGTACACCGTTTCGATGTACTCATCTGATAGCATTCCTTCACAACAAAATGTGGGGAACTTGGACACCAGCGGTCAAAAAAACATCGCTGGAACGATTTTTCTTGTACTATTTTTCTTCTTGTAAAAAGAGACTAAAAATTAGGTCTTATATAGATTGTTAAGTGAGAAAAAATAATGCGCGGAAAACAGTTTCGACGAACTTTTTCGACCCGTACTGTACATTGCGCTGCACAGTATATGGCCCGGCAATGATAAAGAACCAAAAGGAACAGTCAGAATGCCCTGAAAGGTGTTGAAGATAGGGATAGAGAGGTTTCCCTACTGTGAAAGAAACTGAGGTCCTAAAGGAATGAACGTGGCGCTTCCACGCTCTAACATGCTAAGCGTCCACTAGTAGCGAAGCAGTGATGCTCTACTCCTCCTCGACTCTTTCATTCTTTTGCCCACCTTCGATAGTTGTCCTTGGTCATCGGATTGTTGAGATCCCTAATAAATTAATGGGAGAGAACAAGGGTACCGTTTTTTCTCAATTGTACCGGTTCCTAGTTTCTTTCTTTCTGTGCTGTGTTGTTTCTCCGGCACCAGCAAGAACTCTTACTTTCATTTCTGACATCAAATGATTGATCGTACCAACGCCTCTGATCAACGTGACCAAGCCTTTCTCAGCAATGAATAACCTACCGTTCTAGCGCTCCGTCGTCGCTCTTTCGCCTCGAAGTCAATCCTTGTGGAGGTGGCCCTCCTTCGTTGTTCGCTTCGAGACCGGCCTCGTTCACCACTCTGAGATTTGGCAGCGGTAATACGGCAAACGACGCTCTCACGAGTAGAGCCACGATCGAATGGTGCCGGATTTTGATGAATGATCACGCTACTCCGTGATTCCCTGCAAATGTTGCTGATCTATGGTGAACGCACTTCGTTCTCGATACTATACTCCCTTACCTGCGAAGTTCACTTGGAGCGTGGTAGCTCCTGCTCCGAGCTGTATACGGCGAGAAGTACACAGACGAATCCATGGACGTATCAGCATCTCTGAGATACATATGACATGTAGGGTACACGAGATGAACACTTGCAAGGGAAGGATGGTAGGTCGAAGAGAAAGGCGTTTAAAATGAGATGTATAGCACCTTCTGCGTCTCCAGACGCTGATTCCAAATCGGCCTTTCAAATCAGCTGAACGATGCTGTAAGTGGAACTACACAGATTTCGTTTTGCAATTGGTGAGATGGCCTAACGGTTAAAGAGGCGGGTTTGCAGAACTTCGGGGGATCGGATCGCTCACAGTTCTCTTCGATTTCATCATAGTACGCTAATAGTAGGGTGGACTGAGTTTTTTGATAAATTTCCCCCTAACGCCATTGCGGACCGCCGTTATAATTGCCCCTCCGTAGGTTTTTGTCATCTCTTTTATCCTGGCCAATTATCTATCGAAAATTTAACCAGTACACAAGTACTTTATATCCTGTGTGTGAAAAAGCAAACTGCTGATTTTGTAACTTAGCAAAATGTTAAGAAAATCGAAGATTACTACCCTTCTCCGCAAGGTGGCGTGCTGCACATGGTGCAGCACGCGGCCCGCAATGGGTTAATTATGCTGACTATGGTGTTGCTTAATTCTAGCGTACGCAACGCGCGAATCAGTGTGACCATCGCTTCAGGAAGTCAAACTATCTCTGAAGACAAATTTGTTGCCAAATTGAAAATTTGACAACCACGAGTACAACTTTTGTAGGCAAGAAGATTCTGATCGCTGAAACGTCATGTATATGAGCAATAGAAAGCCCCTACCATGAATTCTCCACTTCCCCTCTCCATCATATTCTTCATTTTTTAGCGCCGCATCGCCAGGACCTCTTCCTGACAGTGACCGCTCGCTAAGGCTAAAGCGTCCCAGCACTTCTTCGAAGTAAAAGTGGAATTTCAGTTTCCCTAGCAATGTGTTCCCACATGTAGTTAGAGCACCTGAACACGAATATTGCACTAGTTTGGCGTGAGAGCGTCTAGTGAGTGCCTTATGGATCTGGTTTATGAGTCACCTATAGGGCCACTCACCCAGCAATGGTCCCTCTGGAGAGGGAGAATGCGAGGTTTTCATGCCAAATAATCGTTGAATCGTTCGTTGGCAAGCAGATCCTCTCAACTTTAAGCGTTACTTGCCTGTGAGTGCCCATGGTGCCCGTAGTGCTATGCATTTCCGTGGCAAGAAGGTGCGATATTCCTTTTCAGAGGATCAAGCTACCCTAGAAGCGAGTTTTTCGCCAAATCTGAGGTCATGAACTGATTGAGAAAAAGCGGAGCAGTGAAGGGATTACCACTCCTGAAATTCCACTTTTTTGGGTTGACCAATCATGGACGACGGGGGAAAGGGGAGGGAAGGTGCTGTATTAGGAAATAATGGTTTGTAGAACTTTGGATGATGCAGACGGGCAAGCCAGACACAATTTTTGTCTGTTATGAAAAGTTTTTAAAAAATTTATTCTGCTCAAGTGCCAGCCTTTTGTACTGGATTGGTGGATCGCTGAGTAAGTGACTGCCCAAGTTTTCGAAGTTAGGTCAAAATTTTAGAATTCGCTAGAAGTTCGCTTGAAGGGAGAGTCTGGCTCCCTGATTACGAATATCATACTAATTCAAAGCGAAAATGCTTGGCGCCTGTGCTACAAGCGCCTAAATGAGAAGCGATGCCGCCCAAGTCCGTTATTAATTGCCCTTGAATTCTTTGAAGTGTTAACTATGCGCATCATGATGGACTAGCAATGATAGGAATCTTCCTAGCTATCTTACTGTAAACGGCAAAAGAACAAACTAGCCAGGGAGTCGATCCCCTGACCTCTTTTTCGTGAGCCTCGACCACAGCCCCTGCGCTTTTCTCCCTCATAAATCCCTTCGAGAAGAGTCAGCAGATAAGGAACGGATATTTGAGCTCAGCGTCCCAGGGCGCGTATACTCATATACATCCCATTTCAAATGGCCGGGTTGACCAAATGACCTTTCCTGGTTGGGTGATATGCATCTCATCTCAGATGGCCACCTCGACCTACCATCCTGCCCTTGTCAGAGAATTGTCTGATCTCCGCCAGCACATGCTAAAATTTATAGTGACATGCCAAGACCCCGCGAATAGACTCTGGCAAATGCTGACGTTATCCAGAATCGACTCAAGAAATGCTTGTCAAAGTCTGAACGCCCAATGCAGAACTGACTGCGGACATACCTCTCACTCTGACACCGTGTCATCTCCAGTTCACCACGCAACATTGCCAACTGAATTTTCAGTTCACGCCGCTCCTCTTGAGCACGTCGATAGCCAGATCGCATTGCATTCAACTCGCGGAACATCGTACCACATTTCTCTTTCCACCTGAACAAGAAGTGGTTCACTTTAGGAAAAGAATTTAGATAACGACTGGCTCACTTTCGGATCTCATCCTTGTCAATCACGTCGAAAGCGAGGTTGCTCGCGCTACTACTGCGCACCACATGTGGAACATTTTCACGAACAGCAGTCACATGACGTTCTATCACTCCTTCACGACGATACACCTCAAGCTCCGCTCGTGCTTCACTCAACTCATGCGAAAGCCTCTCGATGCGAGTCTGAACCTCTTAATATCATTGTATGAAAGAAGAGATTATCTTCACACGAATGATATGTGCACTGCTTAGAGCAAAGAAAAGATACGAGAAAAAGCTTGTCTGCTGGAAGAGTGCACGGCTGAGCACACCTTAGTGAATAAAAGGCAGAAGGCTTAACGTCTGGTTACATTTCAAAAACAATATGACTCCTTCTCTTGGTGGGTCTCTGCGAATCTCATCCGGAGACCAAAAACTCGCCTACACCTTTGTACTGAAACCTATGCTTAATTTTCCAAAAAAAAAGCGCCGATCAGGGATTGGGGGCACACAGGTGTTGCAGCAGAAAACTTACAAAATTTCTAAACTACTCTGGTTATGGCTCGCAAATTTTTCAGGATTTCAAAATCTCAAAGCACCGCATCCCAAAAGGTTGCTCTTTCTAACTGTCTGAGGCCGATTCTACCCATTGCGACAGGTGATAAAAATTTCCAAACACGACTACTCTCTTCAATCTTCGACCGACGGACGGCTAATCCTGCCTCCGTGTCCCACACTCAGAGAACCATGCTGCGTCTCGTGCTGTTTGGTTCATAAGCAAGTGCACAGTAATTGCTCACTGGTAAACAACCGGCAAAACAGTAAAAATGTTGTCATGTTAAGCTGACCTTCATTACATCACGTTCCTGACGCGAACGCTTCAAATCTCGAACCAGATTCTGCTTTTCGTCCGCCTCCCATCCCATCATAACCGTCTCAAGAATATTCTGAAATGTACGAAAATTCATCCTACACTAGGCACGCTGAACGAGACGGGGACAACCAGAGGCAAGCTTTGGAAATGCCTCACGAAAAGTATAAGTAACGCCACGGCAAGGTTAGTTCATTTTACAAAACCATGCCGTACTAGTGAATCTATGGTTTCAGGATTCTTGTGGTATGTGCACAGAAAAAATGCCTTCTCTCTCACTAATTCGTGGATTCAGATAGACTCAGCTACACTCTGAAATAACGATTCATCACAATGACAGTGATGATATAGAGAACGTTTCAATGAAGAACATTCTCATGACGCGTAATTTTGTAGTGGTAGTACCTGTAAGAGTTCTGATCCAAGAGGCTCTCTGTCCCATTCATGGGAGCCAACCCTTAGCAAACAGCATAACAAGAGGTCTCCAGGGACGGTAGTAAACTGTCATAGACTGGGAGGTAAAGGGTAAAGGTGGTGAACTACGGCCGTAAACGTTGAATAATGAAGGCGAGACAGCCATACGACCCCGCTCTGAATGGCGAACTTCACTACATTCCTAGCAAAAGTCGCGCCCCCATGGACTTGAACCACGTAAAACAGCGCCCATGAGTGCGACGTTTGCCACTGCATCACAAAGCATTGCTGGGTTACACTGAAGGAATTGTATAAAGCAAGGCAGTAATCTATGAGGGTTGCAAAACATCTGGTATCATGGGGAACTGATCCCGCGAGCGATCCAATGTCAACAAGAATCGAAAACCCACTGCGCTATCAACGTATTTGAGATGTGGGATCATGGTCTAGATAATTGTACAGTGGTGAAATGCTCCCAGGACTAAGGAAGGAGCTATAACACGACCAATAAGTGGAACATAGCAGGGGACAGCAAATCACCTTATTGGTAGAAACTTATCAATATTATCCATAGCTCCAGTGGCTTTCTTGCTGCCCACACTCGACAACTTCTACGAACCCCTTTCTTCCCTGCGCTCTGCGCATGGCAGGGAGACAGAGATGCTCAATGCGACCAATGCATGACGTGCAGAGAAAGGGGAAAGTGCATGGGGATTGAAGAGACGCAGATAGACAGTGACTAAAACGTACTCAGGAGTACATTTTAGTCGCCCTCTACATGACCCTCTGCGTCTCTGCAATTTCCATGCACTTTCTCCTTTCTCTGTCAAGTTCGCCGTCTAGGCAAAGTGCCATCTTACATTGGCCAATCAAGATGTTTCTTAGACCTCGCCCATTGCGGCAGGTCAGCGCGACTTTCCCGCCTTTCCCAATGCTTTTTAGGTGCGGTCGAAGGCGACGTCAACGCGACCTAGTGGCCAACTATAGACTGGCTATTTGGGAGACTTTACTACGTCCCAGATGTTTCACTGTGAATTGGCTTCCAGTCACGGATAAAAGCATCGTGAATCAACTCACAGGATGAAAATTTACCCATAAAAACGCTTAAGCTCTCAATTCCCAAGGTTTTTTCACCTTATCAAGGTAGAACTACCAACTACCACTCTACCACCAATGGCCTCAATAAGTAACTCACAAAACCAGGCCCTATCTCGCGATCAGAGATTCAATTGATAAGCACAGCATTTCAAGGCACCACTTACCGATTGCAATTGTTCCTCATCTTCGATTGGAGTTCGACCATGAATTGGTGACGCCGAAATGCCGTCAAGCTTATCACAGGTACTGGATGATGCGCCCTCCATCGAGTTGAGGATTTGCTCAAGATCCGATTTCACCTAATATTCTTACAATAGCGGATGTTTGATAGTCGTGGCAAAAACAGGAACGTTAAAAGCTCTTCGTTCGGGTATGAAATCATTTTTGTCTTTGGTAGTTTTACAGCGCATACAAGTACTCCGAAGCAGGGTGGATAACGGTCGAGGATTTCCTCGACCATGGACTCTCTACCATGCGAGAGTAGTGCCGAGAGTGAACATCCGCGCGGAGAGCACAGACGGCACGGCGAGTGTGAATGTCCGCAAGAGAGATCGTCTCTGATCGGGCAGAGAATACTCGACGTGCCGTTGAGGAATCCTCAAGCGATATTCACCCTGCTTCGAAGCTTCACCTCTCCAATAATGTTAAAGTAGCATATCCATGCATGTATTGTTACGTTTTGGGCACTCTTTCGTAGTAGTAAAACTTCAGTACGCAACCCGTGAAAATCCCACGTGTAGTGAGAAGTGTTTGGTAACGTCTCACGCTGCAGAATCTTGCCACTTTCCGCACCAGATGCAACTATACTGCGCGACAATTTGATATCTAATGATTGCAGCGCAATGCTCCAGCAGGCAGCAAGCAGCACACTTACACGTGAACTTAGCAAACGTCATGCATTCCACATGTGATCATGTTCGTCATACCGCAACGCTCTTAAAGACAAGATTCGGGAAGAAATGTGTACGTAAGAGCGTTCAGTAATGAAGCTGAAGGTGGGCAGTGGTCAGAAAAAAAGCAAGAGAAACCCCCGATTACGCCTCGAATGAGGACTCCTCTATTTCGGCCGTTTTCCACTTTGGGGTAGAGAATGAGGGTATAGACGAGTTTCATGAACCCAGCTCCAGTTGCTACAGTGCCATTGAAATTGTATCGCAATGCAACCGCTGCCGCAATCGCACCTGCGCTGTTGTGGCAGCATCACGGGCGGGGCTTGCTTGAAGGTGTGGATTGCGGGTGGAGGAAGCTTCCAGCTCCTCCGTTCACTTTTAAGCCGCAAGAGGCGCGTGACATCAGCGCTTGTTCACCTGTCTGATACGCTCGGGATGGAACAGGTAAACATGCCTAATCCAGGAGAGTGCCTTTAGTTGCGTATAGCATGCTGTGCTAAAGCACTCTTGCAAAACGTAGAATCTGCATAGTAACACGGCCACGATTTACGATGTCTGCAGCGAGATGACCACAAATCCAAACGGCGCCGCAACCGCCTATTTGTAAACTTTCACATCTCACAGCCGCACTCTCTCCCGGTCTACGACTGTAATTCTACCATTGCTACAAAGGAGGATGTCACGATATGTTCGATGAGAAAGCAGGGAAGGCGTGCATACTGCAAAAGGACGGCGGGTCTCCGAGGAAGTGGGTAGAGGCATGCTTCGTGAGATGGGAGACCCATTGCCACATAGCTAACCAACCCTAGTAAGCACTACCTGTCGTGGCGCAGCCCACCCTACTGGAGGGCTTGGGCTGTGATTGGTTGCTGGGAGAGTTCGCCGTTTGCGAGAAGAGAGTAGAGAGTTCTGAGCAAGGCGTCCACGTCGACATGATCAAGTTTCGAATCTCGTCCAGTAAGGAAGTCTATTTGGAAAACCTAGGTCACATTTCCGGGTTTCGAGCTGTTTCCTCTAGAATTTCCTTGAGCGGTGCACCCTCTACCACCTAGACTTTCACCCCCAATCGGAAACGATTTTTTCGGAACATTAGCCTCCAAACCTTCGATGAGAATTTTCAAAACAGAATGAAGCGTGTTCATACCACATTCAGATCATCAGCAAGTGTGGCAAATGCCGGCGACAAGTGACTTCGATCACGACCCATAACTGATGCAGTACGACGTAGTGAATCACGAATTCGATCGAGCTCCCTGAAATTGGGTCGAATTTCTGAGCCCTTCATTTCTGCATGAATTAGTTTTGTTAAGCGCAGACGCAAAGATGGAATGCGCTACGTAAATGCTACGTATGTACACGCCATACCATGCTTTACAACTAACTTGTCTCGGCACCACGAGCCGGTGCTGATCATTGACGCCTAAGACACGACCATAATTGTCTAACTAGTACATATTGCCGGATATAAAGGGCAGTATACACAGTGAAATTTGGCGCATTTATTCAAGCTCAGCAAGCTATCTCTCCGGTTCTGCTTACTGCGGCCACATTTCCTCGTGTATACTGCCTTTTGTTGGAACTAGGAAACCTTTTGAGCGTAATGTTTTCCGCACGTAGCCGAGCAGTTTCCTCGTCGTCATGGCCCAGTTCTGGTTCGGACAAGGTTTTCCTGAAAAAAATCCCTTCACGGACAAGTACTGTGTCCAAACAAGGTGGCTGAAAAGTAGGACGTCATGTTTTTGAGTGTAAAAGTCAAGTAGGGGAGCCGGTTAACAAGCCAACAATACGGAAAGATAGTTGGGTTATGCGGTCATTTTGGACAAAAGGTGCTCTGAGTTTGACGAATCTGCTTCGGCAGAGGCCTTTTGACGTCCAACGACAAAATCAGCAGTGCGCCACAGATAGCTAACGGTCATGTCTTTCCACGTCTTCTGAAGCACTAACCTAAGAGCACCTTCGAGAAGTCTTTCAAAGTCTTGCCCTCCAACATCCTCTCATAGAGAAGACCATTGGATGAAGGCTTTTAGGAGAAAGAAGGTAACAATTCCTGTCCCAATGACCGAGCAAGCGTGCGTTCAAAACGGCTCACATGATTTGGAAGCGAATTGGGGAGCCCAATTTTATTAGAGAGCAGACGAAATCACTAGCCTAATTATTGAGATAGTATGAGCCTCAAAATTACCTTTTTAGGAGCTGCGTAGATTTTTGATCGCTCTGGTGGCCATGTGGTTTATATCCATGCTAGTGTATTATCTATAGAATGAATACAAGAAATGGAGAAGGAGGAGCGCAGGCACGATAAAGCATGCGCATGCGCGTCAGCCTGTCGTCAACGTTTTAATAAGGCAATTCTTGTTAAGGAGCCGTATCTTTGAGTTCCTCTGCGATATGCGTTAATGGAAGAATGATGTTTGTTCGTGTAGTACCGGCCATTGGAATTAACACACAGACGACCTCGTCTCGGCATAGGCTCGCTAAAAGAGAAAATCAGCAAGAAAGGGGTACCACCTGCTTTCGACTCTCGAAATTATCGAAAGTATGCGGGATGGGACAAAATTACTGGTGCAGCAATATTTCGTTCGCGCTTCGGGACTACGCTTTGATGTTCAATTTTAACCATGAAAATGGTCGCCCTCTAGCCTTCACACAATTCTTTGAACCTGGCAAGCGTACGCCGCACGCAGGTATTTTCCATCAATTTCGTCTCAGTATTACAGGAGCGGCGATATGACAGGGTAAATTTGGGTGTATAATAGAGCAGGCTTTTCTCCGAAGCAGCCCTTACTTAAAGTGATATCATACAATTTGGAGGACTGGAGAGCCATTCATCAATTGACGAAGTTGCGGATGTGCTCGGCATACTGTTCTTGCACCACTCGCACGGTGCTAATGCAAAAGTTTTGTTGAATTCACCCGTAACCCTCTTTGAAGTGGAAAAGCGCTCATGGTTTTGAAGAAATGTCGAGTTTGTGCTACTTGAACAATATCTCAAAATTTGAGAAATCGAAGAAAACGCGTTCGCATAGCGCTCTGTAGGAGTTTGCTGGTTGCAACTCGCAAAGCGATAAGCCGAACCGCCCCGAAATCTGTGCATACTACAGGCTGGCGTACTACAGGCTCTTTCAGAATTAAAGGCACGAGTCGGGATTGATTTGATGCGTTATTTTATTCAAACGTAAGGCAATGGGTGCAATGAGGAACAGTAGTGAGGAGAAAAAGTAAAAAGCACCAGAAAACACTAGATTTCCCTTAGGAGGCCGGCGGTAGTTGACGGAAAGACACTGCGCTGCGAGGAAAGGGAGAACGCGAGATAGCACGTTACATGAGAGACGCAGAGACCACGTGTGCCGTGGTGGAATACGCTGGCTGCGCGGGCAGCGCGGTGGGCAAGGCCTTAGCGCCTTCGCCGCGCACTTTTGGGTCGTGATAGTGTCGCGCCCTCAGTGCTCGGGGAGCCCCCTATCGCACCCTGGGAAGGACTTCTGCTGGTTGCCTAATCTTGACTCGTGGCTTTGAACTTTCAATGGATATTGTTCGGGACGTGTTGAAGAATTTACGAGGTCGTTCTGCATTGGAGAATTACAGCGACTTCGTTTGTGAAAAGAAATCGTCCCAGATACCGAATCATTTCTCGCTCGAGACAAGTAGCCACATCGACTGGAGCAGATCACTTCTTTTGTCCGTTACGCCTTACTCTCTGTCTGCGTTTCTCTCAATGCTTTTAGTTTCATAGGAGTCTAATGAAAGAAAAAACCCTCAATAAGGAGGAAAAACTCGAAAGAAAGGAAACAGAAAGTAAGACACAAAAGACAAAAGAACTGATCTTGCTCCAGTGTACGTGGCTACACTTTCGAGCAAGAAATGTCTTAGTTTTCGAGGGAATTTCTTTTCACAAACAAGGTTTCTTTAATTCTCCATTGAAGAATGACGTCGGAAAATCTTCAACACGTCCCAAACAGTATCTATTGAAAGTTTAATTTTGGAAGAAGACTGGAATTCCGGGCACTGTTCGATGAAATTTAAATGTTTCCCCAAAATGCGAAGTTTGACTAGACCAAGATGCAATGATGAACATCCAGAGCTCTTCGTCAATCCATATCCTACGAGATCCAGAAAAGATTGTTAACCGTAACGGAGCTTTGACCTGATTTTTGCGCAATATGATTGTTTGACGATTAGTGGTCCTTTTTTTGCTACAGTTTATCTTTTCAAAAACAAACTGTCTTTTTTATTTTGTGGGGACATTAAGCTGAAAGCTTGATATCTGCGAATCAGTTTCATGAAGCAAAATTGAATTTCAACGAAGAAACAGGGGTGGCTGTATCTATCATTTCTGAACATAGGAAAATCGACCTCTTCTGAAAAAAATGAGCACAAAATTGTGTTCGTTTTGGATTTCTGTGTTGATATCTGAAATCCATGAAATTCGTCACGTTTTCTATCTGGACATTTTTGCAGAGCCTCTATGAACTTTGAGTTTTCGAACAAATTTTAGGTGGCTATATCATTATTGAACGCAGTGAACTGATAGCTCAATAAAATGTTGTCATTACTACACTAGCATTTAAAAGCAGCTATATCTAGACTAGCCAGATCCGTTGAAGGATTTTTCCAGTATTTTCAAATTTCGCGGTCTTCAACAGTTTCTGATTTACAGAACAGTAGAACTAAAGGAAAAGAAGCTAAACTTGACCATCTAAAACCTATATGAACTGAGCATACTTCACCCTTCCCAAAAGATGTCTTCTTTTCAAGAAGTGACTTTTAACATAGGTTTGCAATGAGACTCATAAGTTAACGGTGTATATATGCGAGCACAGTGAAAAGACTCATTCTGAGGACTTTTCATTTGGTTCATCATGTCCTAGGGTAAGGTGTCATCATTCTATTGTCGCCAACTGTGTTAGTTCGGATTGTAGCTTAACTTTGCAGTCTCAAGTAGTTATTTGCAGAATTCTTCGATTGAAAGTAGCCGCCTGGTCAGTTAGTTATCGTTTGCTATAAGTATTGCAAAGGCTGTTTAATTGTGATATGCTTGTAACTTTTTCTAGGTCTGAGGAAGCTGTTATATCAGCGAAAGCTCACCAATAAAGCTTGAGAAGAAAGAGTCCTCAACAACTACAAAGATTTGCTAAAGAGAATATAATGATGAGCACTCAATAATCTGGATGCACGGAACTTTCTTCTACATAAGTGAGGTCCAAGACAAGGGAGAGGTTGATGGAAGGGTCGAGAGTGAGGAGTGTGAAAGGTTACTACCAACGAAATACTCTCCTTCCACGAAGTGCCCACCGAAGTGTTTTGTTCAGACCTCCATTCACTACCTTGCCTTACCTGAATGATCCTGTGTCTCTGGACGTAGTGCTTCCTTCTGCTCTAGCTTCAATAGTCCTTTGTAACTCCTCGTTATCAGTCTCAAGATTGTGTATGCGTGATTTCAACCATGTCTTTTCTGATTGATAGCGGCTCATCTCCTGAAGCACTTTTTGAGAGCTTGTCAATAACATTATGTAAATAATTAAGAGTATTAACAGCAGCAACCTGGTCCAGCTCACGACGGACATTCTCGAACTCACTGACTAGATGACGAATACGTTCACGTTCACTACGAACCAGTGCGGATTTTTCCTCTTCGGCCGCCACCAGCTAATATGAAAAAACAACAAAATAACGAGGACCACCACAGTACACCAGTTAAATTTGCAGAGGAATGGGGAACTTCTAAGTCCACTACGTAACCTAATCGGACGAACCAAGGAAAACTAAAAAGACACAACGAATCACAACATTCTCGTTATTTGAAAGAATGTTTGAGTTTGAGAAAGAAAAAAAAAGAACGGGAAGGCGTTGAACTGACATGCGACTCGCTTGTGGTCACCTGTTCACGAAGTTCGGCATTCTTCGTCTGAAGTGCTTCGATTTTTTCAACGTCCACTTTCTGTGGCTCCGGTTCTCGTTCAACGACACAGGGGATACGGCGACGGATTTGAACGCGTTTATCAGCCTAAACAGTTGATGATCGTGTAACTAGGACAGTAAATAACTAGTCGGTTTCCAGAATACATCCTCACTCCCACTAATCCATAGAACATTCCTTTCATTCGCAATTCTCCTACCCCTTACACATTGTTTGTTTGCTCTTGATGAAATATTTGATGCTATTTTAAAAGAATTTCCGATGGCAGGGGAGACAACGTTCCTCGCAACTCGCGCGCTCTGACAGCAGAGGCGGACTCCAACACTAAGCGAAGCCTACAGAGAAAGAAGTGCTTCCCGAAAAATTTGTGCTGAGCGAGGGCTGCTGATAGCAAGTACTTTTTCTTCACATATGAACTCATTGACGACAGCGCGACGCGGTTGCGCGCCCCACTTCGCACACGACGTCGGACATTGTAGCGCGGCTGCGTACCCATCTGAGTGATCTTTTTCTCTCGCGCTTGCGCGACTTCTCTCTGACTTTGACTTATAGCAAAGTAATATATAAGTTTCTCTTGGCTTAACCGCGTCAAAAATATTGACGGTAATTACAGACAAAATGAGTAAAATTTACTTTTCAGGACCATTACAAGTTCTTTTGGTTGGAATTCCACCTCTAGGCCCCTGGTTAAGTTCTACGCTTCAAAGATCACTGAAATGGTTTCCTGGCATACGTGTTTTGTTCAATTATCACTCGAAATGGTGTGCGGCAAAGCGGCCGCGCTTACGAAATCGCTCGTGTCCCACGTGGTAAAAAAGTCGACATGCACGTTGCCGTGACCGTGTTAACACATTAACAACAACGCAGAAAACATAACTATGTCCTGCGCATTGCAGGCCGTGACGGACTGTGCGGATATACATTTCCCGCACCCCCTCATCGTTTCTTTGAGCGAATGCCTGTCTTTTTTCAAGGTTTTTTTGTTTTCAATTTAGTGAAATAACCCAAACTTTGTGGTCAACGAAATAGTTCTGTTTAACAATGGGTTTCCAAATCTTATGAACTTTGCAATTCAGCTCAATTCACACTAACTCTTTAGAAGAAAGTGAAATTGTGCATGACATTTGAATTTTTGGCCAAAACGTTGATAACCATAAATTTTGAGATGTTGTAAGAAGCTCTTACCATTGTAGTAGAAAAAATTGATACTAACACAATCCAAGAAGATCTTCAATTTCATCCATTTTGTATCCCTTAGTAGGTGTTTACGTATCGAAACTTCTGTTAGCACGTTGACAACAACGCGAGTTTTCGCTTTTTTGCCACGTGGAACCGGGACGATATTGCGGGCGCGGCCGCCCCAGGTCCTTCATAGATTTTGAGTGATAAAGACATAAATAATGATAGATACAAGACCAGATCAGCAAATTGTAATGTGTACAACCTACTCAGGGGTACAGTAGTGAATTCCAATTGAAAGACGTAGAATAACAATGAAAAAGCGAAATTTGTCAGAACTAGCTACAATGGACCTCAAAAGCAATGTAACGTTGATTATTTCAATCAAAATCATCATATTGTCATCCCGGACACTCCGCACCTACTTCTACTACTATATAAATCTTTACATTCATAAAAAGAAAAAGTAAACGGAGATTTATTGGACCGAAGACAGGTTCAAAAATCCTTTTCTAAATTAAGGCACACGTGACCAGTCTATGGGCCATTATGTTTGTAGCGACGTCAAGAACTCTTTCATGGAATAAATACAAGAAACTACTGAAAGGATCAGGCGTGCGCGAAAAACTTACGACTTGAAAACGACTTTAATGGGTGCTGGGGATATACAGATATCCCGCACGGTCCGACATGGCCTGCAAAGCGCGAGATAGATGTCCCCCGCGTTGTCGTCAATGTGTTAGAGATATTTTGTTTGTGCAAACCAGCTCACTTAAGCACCGTTCTCACAAGTCGTTTATACATTAATCTTCCAAAAACGGGCCTTGTCGGAGTGTGGGGGTATACGTATACCGCGACAAATGTGGTCGCAAAATCGCGTCGATCCTACATGGCAAAACACCAAAACTCTCATTGCGGTCAATATGTTAAGCATGTTCTATGCAAATCTAGGTTTATAAGTAGCTTCCGTTAGTATCTCTTGCCACAGTTTCAGGTATCGCTTGCGATGCAATGTTTTATTTTATGCAATTTTTGTGTCTGCAGCTCGATCACTCCCTGCGCTTTTCCAAGTAGGTTCTCCCTCAGCGGCACCCAGTGCATCATCGTCACAGTACCCATCCACCGCCAAGGTTCCCACCGCACCTCTACTTCCATTTTCGAGCGGAAAACCACAACTAATTGATCGTGGAACCTTTGAAGCCACAACCCACGATCGGCCTGGTGCACTTAATCGGCTCGGATTTAAAAGCAGAAGTCAACGAGGTGCAAAGTCGGCTTGGATTCGAAAGCAAAGGTGCAACGAGGTGCAAAGTGGACGGTTAGTGAAGAAAAAAAAAAGATAAAAATGTCGGAAACTGCAAACAAAAGCCCTCTTTTTTCAGGCTGCGGAGGATTCCAAAAGGCTGACAGCAGAATGAAAGATACTCGGCCGATGCGAGAGAATGGCAGACGGAGACGAGGGAGCATAACGGTCAGCAATACACGGACGCAGCAACGGTGGGCGTGGACAGATCTATGTTTTGAGCGCTTAGCCCCTTCCTATGCTGCTGTTAGATATCTGCTGAGAAATTTCCTTAAATTGCATCTGTTTTGCTTAGAAAGAGATCGTAATGTAAAGGGGTCACAGCTGATGGGTTCGTTTCCGAAAAGGCAGTGCAAATGGGATCTTTAAAGATTTGAAATATTCACCGATTCTAACACGGCTGAGTAACTCAAGGATATGAATAATGAGGATCAAGGAAGGGTTTGGGAAGGAAAGAGCAATGGTGACTTGTTACAAAACTGCAGTAACTAGGAGGGGGAGAGGGTGGGAAATTTGCTCATCACCGTGATTGACCATGTCTTCCACATCGCATTGTTTCCACTATTAAAGACGGGGCCTACGATGAGATATCAACCTATTAAATCAAAAATCAAGGTAGAGGTGACCAGTGGTGGAGTGATGAAAAAAACACCACTGACAAAACCAAAAACGGCCTAGACCGAGGAACGGAATCCCTTCTTTGCCGGTTGACTTCCGCACTAATGCAACCTTCATCGGTGCAGCTCTCTTCAACGCTAGCGCTCTCTTTACTTAACAGCTAGAGGCTCAGACGGTAACAGAGTGGGCGTGCTGCGGTGCTAGCGGTCCGGGAACGGCTATATTTCAGCCCGCACCCTACCCTTAAGGGTCCGCCTATCTTTCCACTAGGCAAATTTCCCCTCCTTAGACCTCCGACCTCACCGTGGAATCATCCTTCAAGTGCTTTAACACATTGACGACAATGGGACGCGGTCGCTCGCTCGCCTGAGTTACAGACCACCTTGGAGATTAAGACACAGTCACGTGGGTACCCCCCAGGAGGCCCGTTGCGCAGCAAGAAGGCAAAGTCAGCAGACGAGTCGCGCGCGCACTATAGGGATTTTGCGTCAAGTTAAAAGAGTGTCCTGTTGCACGTCCTACATCACACATCACGCGCTGCAACTCGTCCGACGACTCTGCCTTCTTGCCGCGCGACGGGCCTCCTGGGGGGGGGGTACACTAGTGACGTAATCACCCTTGTCATGCCTTTCTCCAGCGCATGCGCGACTTCTTTTCATATTGTTTGTATTTATTCTATAGATCATACATTGACCTCACTATAAAAGACATGATTCACCGTATGACCAAGTATGCGTCGTTAGCAAAGATTTTCTAAGCGTCACCAAACTGGTAGCTTGATCATTCCTCGTTTCTTTCTTATTCTTATGGCCATGTAAATAAAAAAATAGCAGAAGAAAATACAAATTTTTACGGGTAGTAAAATGTATGTTGTTCCTGGCGCAAAAACATCACGAGTATTTTCGACGTCCATTACATAGGAAAAGAGTAAATCCTGCTTTCTCATTAGCATTACATTTTATTTCGATGGTAGTTCCATGACCGTACCCCCAAGCAGAGTCAACCCTGCGCTGCGCAGTTTTCAACGGCCACGTTGCGCAGTTTCACCCGATTAGACACGTTCTCTCGCGCTAACATTCACACTCGCATGCTCGAGCTGTCTGCGTCTCCGCCCATACAGTGCGCGTTGAGGATCTCTCAACGTGCCGTTGCGAACTGCGCAACGCAGGGTTGACTCTGCCCCCAAGTAACTTCTACGCATTGAATATTGCTGGAGCAGGTTTTTAACATTTATGTTTTGCATAGTTATCACCCAAATTTACGTGTGGAGGGTTAGCCGGCTGCTCTCGCAAAACCGCGCCTGTCCCACGCGGCCAAAAAGCCGAAATACGCGCTGTCATCATGTGTTGAAAATAAAGGCTCCGTTAGTGACGCAAAACATGGGCGCAACTTAGACAAGTTTATTTTTGGGATTAAATCATTCACAACCGCTCTTTTCAAAGGAGTTTTTGTCCTCGAAATTCCTATGACAGCTTAGGGAAACTGACTTTATTCTAGCAACACTCACTGCATGTCGGCATACAACATGAAAAAGTGTTTCGAAGGATCATTCCGTTACTGAGGGCACTTTTGTGAACAATGAGGCCACTTAGCGAAGCACAGGAAGCCAACCTTCTCCTGCATGACGGTGATGAGTTTTTGCTGAAGTACATGAACCTGCCTCCTCGTCGTCGCCAATTCACCTTGACACAACTTCAATCTTTCTTCATTCTCGTCGAATAATTCACCCTATAAAGGCAAGCATCTCGACCTGATGAACACTTCTCCAACAAAGACCTGTACCTTTGTGATCGTTGTGGATTTACTTCTGGAGTTTGGCCTGCAAGCCACATATTTGCTGACGTGTCTCGGGCGAGCTTCACATTCCACATCTCGCTTGCTTTTGTTCATCTGAAGCTTCCCTCTCAATTATGCTAAGGCAAACTGTTAACGTCAGAGTCAATCGTCAGCTTTTTCAGATATGGCGATTCAGCAGAATAGACAAAAGGAATCATTTAGAGCTTGGACAGGTTTTGAAGTAATCCAGCCAAGCAGAGGATCTATCAACTGAGAGGTTAGGATCGAAGATCCTCATTGCTATAACACCCCAATTCTATGTAGGTCGTTGAGCGTGGATGCCAACGACAGTCATATTTTCTGCAGCCCGAAGACGCGACATCGCCACTGCCGCGATCGAGAAGACTTTCTGCATTTTTGCATACGGCAGCCAGTTGCGGCTGCACTCACTGCAGGTTTCACAACACAGTTGACGACCACCATAAGTTGTAACAGTTTTCCGCCAACGAAATGACTTGAAGAGATGACAGTTATATTCTGTTGATTACCACAATTACATCTACCATTTATCAGTAATCAGCCATTAACAAGCTATTACTAATGAGATTTTTCGAAGGCCGCCGTCACTCGTGTTTTGAGGTCTGCAGTACAGACGCACCTGGCCGTCTAAAACAGGGTGATTGTAATTAGGGTAGCACTTAATAAAGAAGATGGGAATAGTTCACAAACTCTTCACGAATAAGCGCATTGGACCCACAGCTTTTGAAAGCACAACCACAACCGCGACTTCTCGATTTGTATCACGCAATGCGGTTTACACGCATGGAGAAACGAGATGTTAAATATTCCACCGGATAATGTCGGACAGCGTACCTGGCTGTTCAACATAGCCACATGATCAATACTGCTGGTAAGACGACGTTCAAGGTCAGCGAGTTCAAGTTTCGATTTGATTTTCATGTCCTCTTTTTCTTTGATATGCATAGCAACTTCTTGCTGAAAAGAAACAATGAAGATTGTTGGATGATCACAGAACCTTATTGAATGTGCAGGACAACCGATTTTCTCCGAAAATCCATAGAAACTGGGCTGCCTACAGCAGGTGAATGAATTAAAACAGTACTATTTTTCAATCACAGATTTCAGGTCATACACTAAAACCCAAGCTTACTTTGGCCCGTTCAAGAGTTTGCTCTAGAGCAGCATGCTTGTTGGTCCAGTAATCTGTCTGTTCCTTGTATTTCGCCAACGCTTCGCTCAACGCCTCTTCAAGAGCGTGTTCCATTTCTTCTCGTTGAGCGGAAAAACGAAGTTCAAACTCGCTCTTCTCCTAAAACAGCGAAGAAGTTAAATATTCAAAACGATGGTACCGGAAAAAAAGTGCCTTCAGTAGCTGCTCTATTCGACTTTCCAAAAGCGGGACTTTTTCGGCGACAGCAGAGATATCTTCAAGTTTTCTGTAATGAAAGATGTAACTAATTGAAACAAGTTCAGCTCTAGTTCGTTGTTTCTCGAGCGTCTACACACTTTTTATAGGCCTCTCTTTCGTCTTGATGGGAATCGATTTGCTGACGCTGATCTCGGCATGTATCCTCAAGCTGCTTTGATAAGGTTTCAACGAGTTGAGTTTTTGTGAGAAGAATCTTCTCGATCTCTTCGAATCGACCGTGGAGATCCGAACGGTTTGTGGTGAACTCTTCATGTAACTCCTGTAATTCGTTACAAGTTATTGGAAGACTTAACAAAAAAGAAAGAACTGGGCTGCTTAACCAACTGTGAGCTTCCTTTTCGTGGTCATGAACTCAGTCTCATGTCTGGTCAGATCATCCGAAGTGAGGTCCGTTTGAACCCGTTTGGAAAGCATAATGTTGTATCTGAAATTCTTGCTTCAGGTTCTGATTTTGCCAACGGAAAAAATGAAATATGATGTCGCTCACTGGAGTTGGAAAGGAAGCGTTATTCCAATAAATTCAAAAATAGCAATGAATTTTACTGTACCTCGGATCCACGAAGCCTTTCCGCCAATCATTGCTGTTCTCATCGCTGACGACAAGATCATGCTCCATGAGCGTATTCTGGTAGACTTGCATTCGTTCTTCCATGTAGGCAATCGCTTTCTGCATCGTATCCTTCTCATTCTAAAATTCAAATGGTACGGTGACGGATGGAGTGGCACGAATAGCGGTTGGGAAGAGATAATGGTGGCACAAATCGGCAGAAAGGTGGGCGTGGCGTACGAGTCATCAGCAGTATGCAGCGACATTAGTGGGTTTGTACATGGGCCACCAAAGAAAAAGCTTGTAAGTTGCTTTGGGTGAAATGTACAACAGCTAATGAATCGCTTCATGCATCGTGCCCATCTCGAATCTAATCGTGCGCACCGTGATAAATCTCTAGAACTTCATACATGTCGTAGACTGAACGTCGTCGACATGAACCTCAAGGTGAAGAAAAAACAATCAAATGATTTTCATTGTGAATTGTTTTTATTGTTAACTGCTATTTTTGGCCGCTTGGAGATTTGCCGAAACTTACTACAAGAATGCTTGGTTATAAACACCCATGTCGGCTAACCAGCTTGTCACGTTATACGTGTGTGAGTTGGTAAGCTATGGTAAATAAATATGCCATAAAAGGATGGGCTAATTAGGCAAATGCCCCATTGCTGTGCACGGTAGCAAAACTGCTCAGAAAGCGAAAGTGCCAGTTCACTTCTGCCTAGGGCGAAGGAGCCAGCATTCTATGTCTACGAAATGAGAAAAAACCTTTTTTATCAGTCGTGTGTTCCAACTCAAAATAAAAAAACCTGATGTCGTGTGATGACGTCACATGCGGCGACCTCAGCAGTTTTTGAATCACGTTCTTTCGTAGCGGCGTCCAACTGTTGTTTCAAGCGATCACTGTAATCCATTCTTGTTAATACAGTAAAGCAAGCAGAGAATCCAGAGGCGACTTATATTCAGGTGGCTGCAAGTTACGGTAACAGGATGAGGCGGTCATAGAAATTTATGCAGCTAAAAAGGAGAATCGGAAAACACAATTACATTCATTGAAGGGCAAATTACAAAGAATGAGAACACTTCCAATCCGGCCAATGCCTACATTGAAAAAGGAGGGAAATGTTCCGTCCCACTCACTCAACTCGTCGTGTTAGTGGTAATCGGCGAATTCACCAGACAGGCCAGCAGGAGTCGGGCTTTTCTGCGATTATAGGTTTTGATACTTGGAGGCTTTCTGAAGCGTCTAGGCCTACAGTCAAATGGCCTCGATTCACTGCTCGAGACATGATCAAGGTCCGACCGATCGTCAATTCCCTTGCCTCCTTCCGTCTACGCTGGTGTGGTCACATTTTACGAAGGCCTCGAGACACCGTGTCCAGATCAGCCGATACTTATCACCTTCACTGGTACACGCCCGAGAGGCAGACCCAAATTACGATAGATGGACAACGTGAAGATCGACGTGAATGCTGCTGATCTATCTGCAGACGAGGCATGGAGATCGCTGGAAAGCCAAGGTGAAAAAAGCGACCCTACGAAAGTTGGACAACAACGCTACAGAGGAAGAAGAAGAAGACTTCGCAAAATGCTCATGGCATCTAGTTGTTACCGTGTTTGAACTTCCAATCCGGTCAAATGCTACATTTGAAAAAGGACGGAACTATTCGTCGCCAGTCCCACTCACACTCGTCGTGTTAGTGTAATCGCGAATTCACCAGACAGGCACAGGATCGGTTTTCTGCGATTATAGTTTTGATACTTGAGGCTTTTCTGAAGCGTCTAGGCCTACAGTCAAATGCCTCGATTCACTGCTCGAGACAGTTGATCAAGGTCGACCGATCGTCATTCCCTTGCCTCCTTCCGTCTACGCTGGTGTGGTCACATTTTACGAAGGCTCGAGACACCGTGTCCAGATCAGCCGTATTATCACGCTTCACTGTTACACCCCGAGAGGGCAGACCCAAATTACGATAGAATGGACAACGTGAAGATCGACTTGAATGCTGCTGATCTATCGGCAGACGAGGACATGGAGATCGCTGGAAAGCCAAGGGCAAAAAAGCGACCTACGAAAGTGGAACAACAACGCTAAGAAGAAAAGGAAGAAGACTCGCAAATTTGCTAATGGACTCCATTGTTACGTGTATTTTGGCCACCCCGTATAGAGTTTTTAATAGTTTTAATGAACTACCGGTGTTCCTCAACGCTTTCAAGATCGTGCCGTAAAGCCGTCACATCATCTTCCAACTCATGAATTCTTGTATTTACCTCTTCTACCTGCAATGATGCACCTATGTATAGGAATATGTATAAAGCAATGGACCTCACATCCACTCCGCTTCTCATTGGACTTTTACATATTACATTTTTATCATGAGATCCCCACCTGTTCAAGTAGTCGACTATTCTCCTGCATTAGTTCTTTCTTCTTTTCGATGCAAGATGGTGTGTTGCATTCAAACGAAACGGGCGAGACTCTTGTGGGAGTGTCCACGACAAGCTCTTCCCCGGAAGCCGTCGATGTCTTCGGGACTTCATCAACCTTCAATCAGTATTCACAATGTTGTTTGATCTTCGTTCCATACCTTTGAAGTATTTGCAAAACATTCCTTGAAGTATGGCATCTTTTTCTACGCACAAAGCACAGCAGTTCTATGTATAAAAATATAGAACAATAATAACAACGACCCACCGGTATCTGGCCTGCCCGAGCCGCCATCAGCTCTGCCCGTAAAGCCTCCTCAATGCGGTTTGCTTTTACCATTTGATCTTTGACGACAATCTCCAGTTGTGCGGCTTTCGTTCTCCAGATGAACGCTTCGTTTTGGCATGCCTACAATAGTAGGACAACGCTTCCGGATAAGAATCATTCCTGTAAGAAATGGTCCAACCTGCATGTGGTTGAGAGCCTCCTGACTAAGATACATCGGTTGCCCAGTCACTTTCGATTCCACCGACACGCAAAGCGGGGACGTTAGCATCGGCGTCGACATTGTCATCTGAGTACCGTGATTGTTTAAAGCAAAGCCATTAAGCTAAAGTATGCAACAGTGGGAAGTACAGAGCTCCGCACAAGCGAGTGTTGGACAACTTTGGACGCGTCACCACAAAACTGGATTAACTAGTGTGCGCAAAATTGAAGTGTAGGCACTGTCCCGTATACCTTTGAAAAACAAATAAAAACGATCTTCAGAAAATCTGAATTTTGGATTTCCTCTAAATATTGATTTGAGTGGCTTGTTGAGACTCGAAAATAAAAATCATGGACAAGTTGGAATGGGGTTTGTAAGGTGAAATCATTCATCAGCTTTTGGATGCAACCGTTGTTTTTATTCTGTGGTGGTACCCGTCGCAGCAGCAACAAGGTGCACCTCCATTTCAGTACCGCCGGGGTCGAAGCGAGATTGAGCAAACGGTGCGATTCAATCTCAGGAGCATAACCCCTCGAAAACATTGCTTGCTGCGAAACGCCGCAAATTGGCTACTGTAACAGGCAAATGCCACATGTAAAACTCCATTGCAGACGGAAAGGATCGTGGAAATGGTATGTACGGAACTGTGGGCTTCTAGCAAGTTTGCGAAATCCTGAGCTCTCTTTTACAACAAGCTCCTGCTGTCTTTGTACTTCATACCTCCTGTACCTTTGTTTGGTACTTTGGGGATGTATAGAGTATATGACGGTCAGAAGAAGCACTTTCAAAATGTACTATCACTGCTCAGAACAACTTGACTTTACTTAATTTCCAGGCATTCAAGTAAAAACTGAAGGCGATAGGGAATTCTCAACAGCAATTCTGTTTAAAGGCAAACTCCAGGATTAAACAGGTGCTATCAGCGCTTTTTAGCGATAGCTTAGCTGCGCAACGAACTGAGAATGGAAAGGAAAGCAAGAGAAATCTTTGTGAACGCTAAAATGAAGGCGTTAACTTAAGTAGGGTCGGATATGGTACGATGGCTAGAAGTTGCGGTCAAAGAAGACAAAATACGCGAGTCGTTTGAGAGAGCACGCTGATCCTACCACCTCTAGCGGCGAGTGGAAAGCGTTGGGACGGGAGTCGATGGTTGCGGGCCCGTAAGGATTAGCGCCCTAACCGCGCAGTTTTTGCAACGAAGCTGGAGTGATCAGTGGCGTGCGGACCTTACAATTTCTCTCGTGGTATCACTCCTACTAGTCGGGCTAATCCCGGGGTTTGTCTTTAAGGCTGCAAAATTGTAGACATTTCTGAGATTTTAAGAAATGTGAGCCGATGGGACGGCTCGATATCCATATTTGGAGTTCAGAACGATAGAAGATTGGCGAATTCCACCTGGGAGGCATGTCTTGCTGTTTAAGGTATACTGAAATCAAAGGAGAGCCGAAGGGTTTCTATTAGAACCATTCCACGTACGAGATGCCAATGCATTCTGTTCTGTTGATCTTCTCGTCCAATCTACTGCGTGCCTGACGACCTTCCTCCTTCAGAAGTGCCTCCAAAAGTACCCCACAGAAATGTTAAAGCGCTCAGAGCACAATGTATTGCCCGATCTTACTGAACTTAGCAGATCAATCAAGAGCATCCCTCTTTAACCGGAGCTGCATTTTTGAGTGTGCACGAAGGGAAAATAAAGGAAAGGGGAAATCTGCCGTATGGACTTTATCGTACAAACCTGAAAATTTAACACAATTCAGTGTAAAACCCAGGCAGAAGTCATGTGAAGGGTTTCTCCGGTCTGTATGATCTGTATGATAGACCCATAGAGAATAATCACAAATGGGGCATTCGCGTGCATAGAAATCGCCCAACAAGGGCATTAGGGCCATAAAGTGAGCTGCTGAAGCTGCAATGTTCGCCTCCCGCAGCAGACGATGTCTGGCGCCCTCTTAGGCTGCTTTCATAGTTCGCATCGGTGCGGTCGGTGCCGACGGCGCCGACGGTGCCGCCCGCACCGACAGTGTGAAGAGCGTCAATACGCACTCTGGCGCATGACGTGAACGTTGGGCGTAGATAGCGCGCTTTGATCGATAATCCTGGTTTTGGTGTATTTCTTGTGCTTTTCGATGTTTTTTTTCGCGTCGTTTTTTCGTTTTTTTTTAATTCATGTG